AGTCTGGAACAGACTCCTTCCATATATTTGCACCAGGTTAATCTTGGCCGTCACCTGGGCCTTCTGTCGGTCGGCTTCGCAAGAAACATTTGCTTAACTTTCCTTTTTGGAGGCACTCGCAAAACATGGCCAAACCATCGCAGCTGTGACGCTTCTTAATCTGGAGAAGCAAAGGCTGTATACTAAGGCTCTTCCGAATGTCAGTACTCCGGACCATGTCGGGACGCGTTAAACCCAGCGATTCGTTTAAGAAAGCCCATTTCAGCAGCTTGTACTCAGGTTCGAAGTTTTTCAGTGATGGTCTACGACTCATGACCGTAGGTAAGCATGACCGAAAGCTAGATATTCAGACTCTGTCACAATGGATTGAGCTAGTTTATGCAGAACGCCACTGGCTACTCCAATTCGCCAGTCGATCTCTTTCTATTATTTTCTATCACCACTAAATATGACTCCAAGAAACTTGAACCTGTCCACCTGCTCCACTGCTTTTCCGTTAATCTGAAATTTTGAAATATGAATTATTAAAACCATTTAACACCTTTCCTCACCGAAATTTTCCACCAGAACACACAAAATAACGAATTTGCTTATTTTGAGTAAAAATATTTATGGCAGAAAACACTGAGATCCCTTCCCAAAGGTCTGCCTGCTGTGACAATGAAGTAACGGATGTTCCAGTAAGCGGTGATGAGCTCCTTGCAAATCACAAGAAAAAGAAACTCAGTTATTCCACAAATTACAACGACTGGGGTTTCGTTGCAGTACATCATTATCAGGTACAGAAAAACATTTTTGTGCAGCCTATACAGGTTGGAAGTTAGGAGTTAATGGGTTGCTTGGATGAAAATAGGGCGTGTTTGACGTCTTCCACTTTTTGACCCTCCAGACAAAATGAGTAGTGACAAAGTATGTTCACGAATAGAGCCCAGAGAAATTCCAATAACGTTTCACCATGCGGCCCTCGTTAGGGACGAAGGGGACTCTTTTCTGATTGGCCGGGTATCAGAAGATGCCACTGCCGATTGATGGTTGACAAAAAGGGTGCTTACGGCCGTTGTTCATATCATCCAAGGATATTTCAAAAGATTCAGCGCCGAGAAACAAGTTTAGACAATGGTGTGTATTTCAGAATTTCAAATTGGGGATACTCAGCCTGCAATACTTTTTTTCCTTTAACTAACAGTCTATTTGCAGTGACACACCCCATAAGACAAAATTTATTTTAAAGCTTCAATTGCTCTGCATGGAATTTTCTCATTGCTGTTTCAGGCAGTAATGAAGTTAAAGTTACAGCATAAGGTCTGTTTATGAAACAGTGCGTTAGGGTCATAATCAATGGACAAATGTTGCTTGCATTTGGTCAAACTTTCGAAATGATTTGTACGCTACAGTTATCTTAAAAGGCAGTCACTGGGTATCTCCATGTTTCTTCAGAATCTCTTGTAAAGTATTAAAGGTCGGCAATTTCTGCAACCAGCTTTATCAACTTACCTACAAGTTAGGGATTAGGCATTCACTAGATCAGGTCAAAATGAATTCACAAGTTTTAAGCTGCCCAACTGCTCTGCCATAGAACATTATGAGAAAGATTAACATTTTCGAACGATCCTTATTTTATGAAATTCGTTATCTTTGAGACCTTGATATGTACAAACTGCCAACTTTCGCTCCTGGATTCAAATTAATAGCTTGGCTAAGTGTATGGCGCTTCACATAATTTATTATAACTGTATTTGTTCGTTGACAGATGCTGGAACAGTTGTCTGTAGGCTCCCCATAATACTACTGCTGCATAGGCCACAGCTCAATGAAAGTAACGCCGCATATCTTTCGGTAATTTTCATTCAAAATGTGTCTTAAACAATCCGTCGGTTATCACATATGCTGCGGTAAAAGCCCGTGATGCACTAAGCATAGAACTGCAGCGCATAAAAGCATTTTTAATAATGGAAGGATCATAATGTTTTGTAACTGCAAAGATGTTCGACTTCTTACATTTCCAAAAACGAACGCCATCTGCAAAATTTTTGCATGAAGCTTTGTTTCCATCCTGTCTCTTCAAAGAATGTTTGTGAAGGCAGCATCTACAACCGTTCTACTAGCATAACTGTAAGTTGCTGCTTCTTTCTTAGAGGGCTCATTTACCTACATCAAAAGGAAAAAAACGGGACTATATTTGACCGGAATTGAAACTCGCAATCTGAGGTCGAGGATCTCTCGACTGAGCTAAACGTTATTGACGTGCATGTTCGAAGAAGGAATTATTCATTCCGTTCCAAACGAACTATATGCTAAGATCGACGAAACCAGCATGAGCAAAGGAGTACTAACTTTATCCCGAAGAATTTAAGCTAGGTACGGATGGAAACATCGGCAGTGGTTGATCAACTGAGAGACTAAAAGTTTTATTCCGTCCTTTATTAAATATGAATAATCTGTTGTTAGAATAGGCCCTGATTAGAGTTGAGCTAAAATATGTGATACCAAATAGAAGAATTTTCATTCATAACCTTGAACTAGGTGATGATTCAGCTACCAGTATTCGCACATGTAGAACCACATACGATCCTGCAGAACTAACTACAAATTAAGTGCAGATGTGTAACCATTTTTAAATTATTTAGCAAACTTTTCTTCAACTAGCAGAATTTATTGATCAAAAACATATTCGTATAGCGTTAGATAATCAAAAAGTTATATGTATAGGCTCAAAGTGAAACACAACACAGTGTACAGTAAATTTTTAGTTTTTTTCAGGAGGTTAGTGACCTTGCAAAATATTTGGCGCTCTCAAATCAGTTTGCTTTAAAGCGTTGAAAAAGTCCATGATTCCCATCTGTCGTACCAATATAGAGAAG